ATGCTGCAGGGCGTCTCTCAATCAGAGCAATAACAGAGGGTGGAGCAGTTTCTCTCAGTCAGGACTCCTTCAGTTGGAGCTGAAATATCCACAGAGGTCGTCTCTGCTCCAAAACAAACAGACCAGCTGATTAAAACCTGTGAAACTGTTTAAACTGTTCCATGTTATAAATCAGTGTTTCTCTGATGGTGTTTGGTGCAGTACGAGCCTCAGCTTGTTTCTCTCATAACTTCAGATGTCAGATGACTAAAATCCTTCATCCAGTGCAGGATTTACACAACCCATCATCATCCTCACTGTGACCTCGTCACATGTCCACGTTTGGTCATGGACTTTCCACGTCCACATATGACGTCCAAGGTACCCTGGGTGTGTTGGTTGTTGACGTTCTGGGACGCCGTGTCAACTTCAGCCTGTTACATGCATTGTCTGTTTTCAAAATACACTTCTGTTTTCACAGGAAATGTACAGTTTGCATACAGTCTCTTTCAAAATAAAAGCACTACGTCGGTACAACACCACCAACTGATGTTTTTTTCCTTCAACAACACACACACGTGGTTACGTTTAGCCAACACACACACGTGGTTACGTTTAGCCAACACACACACGTGGTTACGTTTAGCCAACACACACACGTGGTTACGTTTAGCCAACACACACACGTGGTTACGTTTAGCCAACACACACACGTGGTTACGTTTAGCCAACACACACACGTGGTTACGTTTAGCCAACACACACACGTGGTTACGTTTAGCCAACACACACACGTGGTTACGTTTAGCCAACACACACACGTGGTTACGTTTAGCCAACACACACACGTGGTTACGTTTAGCCAACACACACACGTGGTTACGTTTAGCCAACACACACACGTGGTTACGTTTAGCCAACACACACACGTGGTTACGTTTAGCCAACACACACACGTGGTTACGTTTAGCCAACACACACACGTGGTTACGTTTAGCCAACACACACACGTGGTTACGTTTAGCCAACACACACACGTGGTTACGTTTAGCCAACACACACACGTGGTTACGTTTAGCCAACACACACACGTGGTTACGTTTAGCCAACACACACACGTGGTTACGTTTAGCCAACACACACACGTGGTTACGTTTAGCCAACACACACACGTGGTTACGTTTAGCCAACACACACACGTGGTTACGTTTAGCCAACACACACACGTGGTTACGTTTAGCCAACACACACACGTGGTTACGTTTAGCCAACACACACACGTGGTTACGTTTAGCCAACACACACACGTGGTTACGTTTAGCCAACACACACACGTGGTTACGTTTAGCCAACACACACACGTGGTTACGTTTAGCCAACACACACACGTGGTTACGTTTAGCCAACACACACACGTGGTTACGTTTAGCCAACACACACACGTGGTTACGTTTAGCCAACACACACACGTGGTTACGTTTAGCCAACACACACACGTGGTTACGTTTAGCCAACACACACACGTGGTTACGTTTAGCCAACACACACACGTGGTTACGTTTAGCCAACACACACACGTGGTTACGTTTAGCCAACACACACACGTGGTTACGTTTAGCCAACACACACACGTGGTTACGTTTAGCCAACACACACACGTGGTTACGTTTAGCCAACACACACACGTGGTTACGTTTAGCCAACACACACACGTGGTTACGTTTAGCCAACACACACACGTGGTTACGTTTAGCCAACACACACACGTGGTTACGTTTAGCCAACACACACACGTGGTTACGTTTAGCCAACACACACACGTGGTTACGTTTAGCCAACACACACACGTGGTTACGTTTAGCCAACACACACACGTGGTTACGTTTAGCCAACACACACACGTGGTTACGTTTAGCCAACACACACACGTGGTTACGTTTAGCCAACACACACACGTGGTTACGTTTAGCCAACACACACACGTGGTTACGTTTAGCCAACACACACACGTGGTTACGTTTAGCCGACACACACATGTGGTTACGTTTAGCCAACACACACACGTGGTTACGTTTAGCCAACACACACACGTGGTTACATTTAGTCAACACACACACATGGTTACGTTTAGCCAACACACACACATGGTTACATTTAGCCAACACACACACATGGTTACGTTTAGCCGACACACACACACACGTGGTTACGTTTAGCCAACACACACACGTGGTTACATTTAGCCAACACACACACGTGGTTACGTTTAGCCAACACACACACGTGGTTACGTTTAGCCAACACACAGGGTTTGGCTTTACAATCTTACAGGAAGTGAACGCTGACCTCCTGGGTGAAAGTCGATGATTGTTGGACCCATCATCACCCCTCCCATTCACCCCAGTTGGACTTTCGCTGCCTTCATTTTCATTGTTGTCCCACCATATTTCCCCCGATGCTGCTGGGTGCTGTTAAACAATGACGCCAACTGGCTGTGTTTCATGCTGACGTGAAAGAACAGCTTCTCTGGTCGGTTTCTCTCTCTGGCGCAGAGGTATAAAAATGTAAATATATTTTACCAATTTAAAATTTTCTTGCATTTTGTTCCTGAAATCCGTCCTGAAGCCAAACTCTTGCTGGGATCAGGATAATCCTGATTCTTTGGATCCTGATCCTACTAAAAATTTCTGAACAGCACAACCTGATGGTTTGATGCAGATCAGAGGAACGAGTTGATTGGTTAATTCAGTTCCAGTCAGGAGGTGGGTTGAGATGGAAAATGTACAAGTTGTACTTTAATAGCTGCACAAACGTCTCTGACTGACCCTGTTCACATTCAGCTGCATGCAGCCTGCAGACGTATAATTCTTTAAAAGCTTTACATTTACGGTCTGACCTCATGCTGAGATATCTCCATCGCAGCGGAAAACAGCAGGAAGAGTTTCGGTTGATTCATTAATAACACAATAACAGAGCGAAGGTCTTTCCTGACTCTCAAATTTGTTCCACAGACACTCTGAGAGGAATCCATATGAACTGAGACAAGAGTACAACACTCAGAAAAACTCACTGCAGCTGTAATGAAGCAGCTGAGGAACAGGTCTGAACCCAGGTGCACGACTCAGACACTCAGAGACGAGCAGGTGAGGTAAAAAGTCTGTGTTTACCTGCAGTGACAGACGAGGCAAATGTCCAGGCAGGCAGATGAAACAGGTCGTCCTCTCCAAAGGGGTCAGGCGGTGGTCCGATGGGTAGGCAGGACATCAAGCTGGCGAGTCAGGCAGGCAGAACGGAAGGCTGGAACGCTCAGGTGGAAGAACAACACACTGTCTGGCACAGACTGAATGGGAACAGGGCGGAGATATATGCTTCAGGATTGGTGGGGAAAGTGGGTACAGGTGTGCAGGTGGGCGGGGAAGGTCAGGTAAAAGGGGTTAGACTGCAGGCAGGAGGGCGTGGCAGGATCTGAGATGACAGGAGAGTTAGTGTGAGGCAGGGAAGCAGACGTGAGAATGTGAGGGTGAGCTGGTGTCACGACAGCAGACATTTACTAAATCGAACTCCTGAGGACACGTCAGAACACTGGAGAAAAATATGCTAAACTAGAAAAGCACTCAGACAGTGCAGACCTCCGCCAAGTAGGTGATATTCCCTCCGCCTCTGCATCAGATTTTGCAGCCTGCATCACAATTAGGTTATTTGCATCACTATCATTATGAGGTTATATATATGCCTTCACCATGGAGACACTGTGGTGTATTTATTTCGTTTTTATTTTGTACCAACACAGAATATAATATGTTTTTTGTATTTTTCACTTTCTTTTTTTCCCAACACAGAACATTAATTTCAACTTTAGAATTACAGCAATATTTAGCAAGTAGAACTAGACGTGCTTTCTTTTTGTGCTTTAATCACTTGTGAGTGTGTGTGTCGGCTAAACGCTAAACGCAACCACGTGTGTGTGTCGGCTAAACACTAAACGTAACCACGTGTGCATGTTGGCTAAACGTAACCACGTGTGTGTGTCGGCTAAACGCTAAATGTAACCACGTGTGCATGTTGGCTAAACGCAACCACGTGTGTGCGTCGGCTAAACGCTAAACGCAACCACGTGTGTGCGTCGGCTAAATGCTAAACGCAACCACGTGTGTGTGTTGGCTAAATGCTAAACGTAACCACGTGTGTGTGTCGGCTAAACGCTAAACGTAACCACGTGTGTGTCGGCTAAATGCTAAACGCAACCACGTGTGTGTGTTGGCTAAACGTAACCACGAGTGTGTGTGTTGAAGGCAAAAACCATCAGTTGGTGGTGTTGTACTGACGTAGTGCTTTTATTTTTATTTGTCTCAGAATGTCAACAACCAACACACCCAGGGTACCTTGGACGTCATATGGACGTGGAAAGTCCATGACCAAACTTGGACATGTGATGAGGTCACAGTGAAAATGTGTCAGTCTCTGACACGCCAAAAAGCATCAACACTGATTTGTAACATGAAACTGTTTTATTGATTGTTTGTACTGGTTTAAATCTCCTGTTCTGTTTGTTTTGGGTTTGAGCCTGTTGCAATCTGCAATCCTCACCCCTAGATGGCAGTAAATCCTCCTACATTTGACATACTGGACCTTGATATATGATATATATATTCTTTAAGGTGGCTAAAATACATTTTGCTGCTGCTCTGTCCACAGCTGTCCACTGCTTTGCTCCTGTGTCGGCACTCCTGCCTGCTTCTCCAAATTAGTGGTGTGCAGACTGACATCTAAATAATTCACACAACCTCACTTGCAAAAATCTGAACTATCTCTTTAATGTTTAAAGGTCACTGAAACTCTCTGATGGATAAAGAAGCACTAACATAAGACAGTAAATACAGTGAGTGGACGAGAGTAGAAACAAACGAAGAAATGATTCGTGGACTAAACATCACAGCTCTGTGTCAAACAGCTGAACATTATCCACAACACATGTTAATGACCTGTGTTTATGGTGTTAACAGCAGAAACCAACAGCAGAGTTCATCTTAAAATGTTTATTTCAATAAGGTGCTGGAAATATTCAACAGTCACATTTTTTCCTTTCCACAGAACGAGGACATTTATAACCCGAAGCCCGGGAAACCACAGAGAGTGTGCTGCAGGACAGAAGGACGTGACCTTTAACAGTATGTACAGATAAAACAGTCACAGTGTGGAGGAGAGGGAGGCTGAACACACAGCACTGGGCAATTAAGGCAACACGTCAGTAGGTAAGAGACAACCTTTTCTGTACAAGGAGAGTAAAAAATAAAAATAACAAGCACCAGGAAACACATTACAGAGCCTCGCCGAACCCCAGAAGAGAAGACATTAAAACACTTCTTATAGCTGCTGCGAGACAAAGACACAAAGAAGAGTCATCGACAAGTTGCAGAAAAACTTTGTAAGCGACAGATGTTTTTCTTTTCTCCTTGATTTGTTTCTTTGAGGTTGTGTCCCTCCAGATCGGGAGCGGCTCCAGTTTTATCAGTCAAGGAATCCAAAATAAGAAATAAAAAAAGAGCTTCCTTTGTTTTTCCCTTCAGTTTTTTGTGTGTGTGTCAGCAGACCCTCTGTTGGCGCAGAGACACCTGCTGGTGCTTTGGAGGAACTGCTTGGCAACTCTAACGTAATCCTCGTGTCTGTGTAGTAAAATAATCTCCCTCAGCGCGCCTCAGCTGCGGCTGAAGTCGTCACCAAACATCCTGTTTCAGTGAAACGGGGCGTTGGCTGTGTTAGTGTTGAGACATTTCCAATAAATACTGGCAGACTGCTGACGAAAACTAACTTTAAAAATCTGTAGAAAACATTATTCAGTTATATTAAAAGCAAATCTCCCGTAAATTGACACGATTAATCATAAACAGGCTGAACTCTGAAATGTGAAGGTTTCACAGTTTCAGCTTCTCTCATGACGACGAGCTTTCTCCAGCTCACGTCTCCGGCCGGCGTCCAGTCGATAATTTGGTAGACAATTTTTGCATATATTCATCTGGAGAGACGATGAAGCATGATGTGAGTACTTGCCTCTCAGCGAGTCGCAGCCTGCAGTCGGGAGCGGCACTAAAACGCCACAAGGTCCTTTGTTTGGCCCCGACGCAGCACAGCCGGGCTTGCTGATTGGCCGATGAAGCCATCCTGTTACCGCCCCTTCACTTCCTTGTTTGGGGCTGATCTGGAGTCAGAACCTTTAAGCTGAGTGGCCACACGGGGGCGACACTGAGAACTTTAAACATTATCTGTAAACAACAAGTACTAACAGTCCATCATGCCGCGCCTGGTCACCAAAATTCAACCGTTCACAAACGTTTGTTTACATACAAACAAATAAACACACATATAAAAACAGGTGACGATGTGTCAACAGTCGTATGGAGCCGAGTCGATCACGTGTAAAGAGTAAACATGGGTGTAGAATCACTCCTTGGTCCTCGTCTGCAGCCATACGACAGCTCCCATCACCACGGTTACTGATATATACACATCTGAGTTCCTCTTTCCCTTTGTCTCCTTTTTCCCCTCTTTTATGTGCAAGTAAAATTATTCAGTCCTTTTTGTTTAGATGTTTTTTCCCCTCAGCAGTGTCACACAGACACGAAGACGTCCAGGTAGAGGCGGTCGTAAGACTCCCTGAAGAAGAGGATGAGGACGAGGCTGAAGAGGCAGGAGCCGGTGAGACACCAGTTCATCCACGACAGCTCTGCATGGAGACAGACAGAGAGACAGACAGGTGTTGGGGTTAGACTGTGAGCCGTCTGCTTCAGTTCGTATCCAGAGTGTTAGACGCTGGTTGGACACAGCAGGTGAAATTTCTTTCTTTTAACTCACCACTTTGACTCTGTTAAACCAGGCAGTGTCCCATAATAATCCCGTAATAAACTCTGAGCACATTGTAACTCAAACAGTCTGAGACACTGACATGAGCTGCAGTCTAGAGACCTGAGATATCACATCATACACATAAACAGATCAAGTAGTTTTCGGTTATTATAACTGAGAAAACTGATGACAAGACAAATTTCAAACAACACAAACACAAGTTTCAGCATCAGCAGTAAAAAACAACAACAAATACCATCAAGTATTTTCTGGCTTTAAAGGATCGAACTGTTGGTTCTGCATGTTTTAAACTACACATCACATTCACAGGACTTAAAGCTGCAGTAGGCAGATTTACTCTGCTGTCAGTGGACAAACATCCCATAATAAGCTTTGAGCATATTGTAACTCAAGTGGTCTGAGAGGAGACTAGACTCCTGCTCCTGCTCTTGGCTCTGGGTTTAGGCTTTAGAAAATCTATGATGAGAGACTTTGACCAATCACAGGTCAGTTAAGAAAGAAAGCATTCCTATTGGCTGATCTACAAACGCAGATGCACGTCTCTGCAGTGAAAACCTGACTCAGTGGTGGAGTAGAAAGTTGCTGTTCCAGCATTGCCAACAACTGTCTCCACTGCAGAGCAACCCAACAAAGAGACGGACTGATCAAACAGAGTCTGAAAGAGAGTCTGACAATAAACTAAATAAAACACGTGTCAGTATCAGTGAAGAGTTTCAGACATGGAGACAACATGATGCTAACAGTTTAGCCTCCTGCTAACCCAGGCGTCAGCAACCTTTACTATCAACAGAGCCACGTTTGGAAAAACACAACAAAAATAAATCAGTCTGAGCCACGTAATATTTTTTTAGCTTTACGACGGTAACACAGCCTATAAAGTCTAAAGTAACGCAGCATTGGTGATGAAAGCAAACAAATCTGTCCTCGCAATATTAAATTGTTCATTTCCTCCGAGATGTTTCTTGATTTAGATTTTGAATCTATAGCTGAACTAGCGAGGGAAACTCAAGACCAGACACTGCTACTGAGGTTCTGCAAAATTTAGAGATAAAAGGCGCCAGGCTGTAGATACATGACACATATTTGACTCACGCTGATGAAATATTAAAACATTTTTAAATCTATGTGCAGGCGACACATTTTTACAATTACAGAATGTAAGAATCACTCGAGGCCGACAACGATGATTAAGAAAATTAAAATGTTAAAAAAATTAACCATATCGTTAACGTTTTCACATCATTTTTTTGGTCAAAGCCACAGCGAGCCACTGGAGAGTTGCATGTGCTAACGTTAGCTAGAGCCTCAAATCACAGTGTGTCCTCCGCCTCACTCCCCGCCGCCATAGACCACCTCCCTGGGAGGGGAGCAGGCAGCAGCTCTGGCGACAGAGTCAGCAGCCACCACAACCACAATCCAGCCGGTGTAGACGCTGGCTCCAAGGCACCAGACAGGCCTGACTCCCCGCTGAATCTGCAAACTTTCTGTTGCTGCTGTTACACAGATTAGACCCGGTGCTGCTGCTGGACACCAGCTCCAGCTGGGGGTTTGTGTTGGCAGAATTCAAGCAGCTACAGCCACCAACCAAAGCTCCAGAGCTGTTGCCTGCTCTCCTCCTGTGGAAACAGTCCACAGCGGCTGGGAGTGAGGTGGAAGGACTGTGAGGTGGCTATCTAGCTAACTCTTGTCACATTTGTGGTCTGATAAACAGAGACAGGGGCGAGGAGTCATGTATGAGAAACACTGGGTCGTGTGCATATGCCAGTGGTCATCTGGTGGGAGGGGCTTAGGACAGAGGCGGGAGAGCTGCAGGAGGAGGGGCTATGTTCAAATTCTGCTGTTTTTTTTTTCTGCCTCCAGCTTTGAATAATAGAGAAAATAAAATACATAATGATAATAAATATGAGCATAACATTGAGCTCTAATTCCTTTGTAGAGTAATCAGAATAAAAATTACTCAGCAGGTGAAATCACTGTGGATTAATGCAGGAAAAAGAGATCACACTGGCTCAAAATTTAAACAGGAAGTGACCACTGCCTCAGTACGACCGTGTGTTCCTTCATAATGACATGTGAGTCATGCACGTGGATGCAGAGAGCTAATGAGAGTTAGTATGAGCTGAATAATTTATGAGTATCATATGGGACTAATGGCTGATCAATAAGAATTCCTGACATACCGTATATGAAATAAGAGCTCCCTCCTGAGCTGTCGTTCATAATCATAGTGAATAACTCACAGATATTGGCAGTGCTCCCTGTTATCATTGACCTCCACTTGAACCTAAACATGGAGGCGAATGAGGAGTTGTATTTTCTCAGCTCTGTTCAGGCTCCATTAACCACAGGAGAGTCTGCAGTGATGCTGAATCTGGAGGGCAGATGGAAACCTGCAGCTGCACTCAACCGTTGGCATCTTAACTCATCAGACAAATAACCTCTTCTTCTTCTTCTTCAGCCTTGGCGAGGCACGCGCTCACATCTTTGCCGTGCAGCCGGCACCAACATGCCTGGACAAACCCAAATCAATTCACTCCTTCTTTCAAATGCATCGAGTGGCCCTCGCTGTGAAGCCGGCCGTCTCCACACCACGTAGGTGTCTGAGGGCTTCGTCCTGACAGAGACGTTAGGCAGAATCTACGTTCCGCGGCGAGGGCCGACTCCTCGGCCAGGACGGAGGATGTGGTGGCAGCAGGCAGCTGCTCGGCTCCTGATAACGAGCCAGACTAAATATAGAGAAATCAGGTCGTAACACGCAGCGAGGCCCCGGGGCCTCTGGCAGCACACTGTGACTCCACTCACTACGACTCCACTTCGATTCCAATCAACCAGTTTGTCATAATGTCGTCAATAATATTGTCAATGAGTTCCCCCGGGACTGGTCAGAGGACGAGACCATGAAGACACTGAGGCCTGGACTCAAGGACGGATCAGGAGACAATCAGGCCCTGGGCACAGAAATGTTTTGTAGTTCTCTTGTGTCTTTCTGTAGTTCCTTTGCATCTCTTCGTGGTCATTTTGTGTCTTTTTGTTGTCGTTTGTGTCCTTCTGAGATGTTTTGTCTCTTTGTACTTATTTTACATCTATCTGAGGTTATTTTGTGTTTTTATTTAGTCTTTCTGTGTCTTCTCGTGGTTGTGTTGTATCTTTCTGTAGTTGGTTCGTGTCTCTGTGGTTATTTTGTCAGTTTCTGTAGTTATTTTATGTTCATTTGCATCTCTTTAAGGTAATTTAGAGTCTCTGTGGTAGTTTTATCTCTTTGTAGTCATTTTGTGACTCCTTGCGGTTGCTTTGTTTCTTTTTGTAGTTATTTAGTGTCTCTCTTCAGTTCCTTTGCATCTCTGTGTGGTCATTTTGTGTCTCTTTGTAGTCATTCGGGTCTCTGAAGTATTTTCTTTGTCTCTTTGAGGTAATTTTGTGTCTTATCAAGGTATATTATGAGTAAACGATGTCTTTTTTTGGTCGTTTTGTGTCACTTTGTTGTTGTTTTCCCAGTTTTTGTAGTTATTTTGTGAGTCGTGTTGTTTGTATGTGTCCTTGTGGTCGTTTTGTGTCACTTTGTTGTTGTTTTTGTCTCATTATCATTGTTTTTTTGTCTTTTTGTAGTTGTTTGTGTCTCTTGGAGCTATAGTTATGTCTCTTTGAAGTAAATGATGCCTACTTTTGGTAGTGTTGTGTCTCTTTGGAGACATTTTGTAATCTATCTATCTATCTATCTATCTATCTATCCATTCATCCATCTTATTTTGTGTCTCCTCATCATCGTTCGTGTCTCTTTGAGGTAGGTTTATGTCTGTTTTGTGTAGTTTTGTGTCTCTCTGAGGTGTTTTTGAGTCTCTTCCTGTGTTAATTTGAGTAACGTTTTACAAGTGAAGGCCGGGGGCCCCCCTGACCCTTTGGGCCGGGGGCCTGTGCTCGGTAGACCTGCTCAGTAATCCATCCATGCTCCGACTGCACACAGCCTCCTCTTTGAGGTAAATGAAGAGTTTTGGCAGAAACCTTTGTGCTCGATCCCTCTCTGCCTGCACGAGGAGAAAGAATGAAAGGTAAGAGGTGTGAAGATGAAAGCAAAGGATAAATGGAGGCAGTAGGGAGGTGGAGAAGGGGCCCAAGAGGAGGTGAGGGATTGGGTGAGGGTGTTTGCGGCGAGGTGTTGAGACTCCTGAAGCAGCCTCATTAATCAGGAGTGTGTGAGCCGGACAGCAGGAGACCCGGTGTGGAGGCGGGTTAATGGAGTTGTGTTTATCTGACCTGCCGTCTCCTCCGTCTAACTCTGTCTCGCTTTCTCACACGCGCGCCCGACAAAGTCTCGTTCATTTAAAGTTGGAGACACACAGTCTGTGTGCGTGTCTGTGTTTGTGCCCGCAGCCTTAAATGAATGCTAATGGGGAGCTTGGTAATTGTAGTAATTCAATCGGCTGATGTGATAAAAATGGACAAGGAGCTCAATTGCCACCCTCTGATCTCTGAGGACACGACTGGAGCAAAGTTTTGAGGGAACAGTTAAAGTTTGTCTGAACAGGAGAGGGACCGAGGAGGAGGAGGAGGAGGAGAGGGGATGAAGGCAGAAGATTAGAGCAAATGAGATAAAAGGAAGGAGAGAGGAGAGACGTCACTTTGTTCTGATTCATGGAGGCTCCTCAGTTCAGGCTCTGCTTTAAAGTTGATGATTAGATTTTAATGATCAGTGTTTTAAGGACAGATACAGTCGTGTTGCAGGTCTGTAATCCAGTGAGCAGCCACAGCTTCCTGTTAGAAACCTCGCAGCACTAAAGGTGACGGGACTACTCAAGCTTAGACTAATAACATCAGCAGAATCTTTTAAATCCTTCCTCATAATCTTCCTTCACTTTCTAACTT